AAGCCTGATCTAACTTGAGATCTGAGTACAGAGGATTTAATATTTTTTGCTGCTGTTATTGTTTAGAATTTATAAGAAAAAAGATCCACAAATAGGACTGAGATGTAAGCGTTCTAAATATTCAGCAATAACAAATTGCATATTAACAGTACTATAATTATTCCTTTTGTTTGGTTTCTTTGTAATTACTTTTAATAAATTACTCTGCCTCCCCTCATCACTCAAGTAAGTTGTCATCCAAAGGCACAATCAGTACAACACAGGACACAAAGCCACTCACAGACAGGGAGGGAGAGGAGGAGGGTGGGCTGATGCCTCAAGAGCTGTGACTCACAAGATCCATGAGGCTTTTCCATGGAAATCAAGTATCAATGAAGCTATTGTACAAGATTATGGGCTACATAAATGTAGACTAGTTATGAATTCTCACAGAGCAACAATGCTCTCAAACAGAGCCAACAACAGCCAGCCTGGGAAGCCACACAAAGGGAAGTTTGCCTCAGGTGTAAAAGATGGGCTGCTCCGTCTACCACTGCAGGACACAGGGTGGCTCCCATAGAGCACCGGGCCCCTGAGTTTAGCACTCGTAAATTCACACCATGCCTCTGCTGAGCCATGTGCGCCAGGGGCTCCTAAGTCCAGCCTAAAACACTTACTGTTACGGGTTCAAAGAAGAGCTAAGTAATTTTTATTAGTCTTAAATGCTGGTTTCCAGAAATCAAACTGAACATAAAATAGGCTTTTGCTACAAAAGACAAACAGCAGTAAGGTACTTTGTTAAGTGGTTTAAAATTTGTACCTACCTTTATCACTTTGAATATTTCAATATTAGCCTGTAATAAAAGTATCTATCTCTTACAATATATAAAATTTTAAATGGAACAATACACGTTGCCAAACACATAAACCTGGAGTCCAAACTGGATTTTCTATACAATTTTTAAGATCATCTATGAATTATTATTCCAACTAAGATTATCCCTGACCATGGATCAGAGTCGAGTATGCAGAAAGACAAAAATGAAATAAAAGCAAACTGAAAATACTCCATAATTTAGGAAGGATTATTAGGAAGAAAATAATATGAATATTTTTTTCCTCATAGACTCAGCAAACAGAACTTATCATTCCTCCTCAATTAAAACTGCCACTAAAAACCACAGGGTCCACATTTTTCACGTTCATCATTTTAGATTTTGATGCTTCATTCTGGATCTCTCAATGAAAATGTTCATACATTTTAAATAATTTCATGTTCCAAAGTATTGTATTACAGGTCCTGGTAGAAAATAATTAAGGCAACCTTAAAAGGTCAGAAACGGCCTGCACCTAGTGTGAATTACGACTGATCGTTAGCAGAGGTCAGTCTTACACTGGTACTCACTGGAAAACACACCGAGCACGTACGTAATAGTGACTGTTGAATTTTCAATGTTTTAAGAGTAAGCCAATGAATACCTCTGATACCACTGTGTACATTTAGTGATGACCAGAAATGAGCATCGTAAAATTTGCTCTCTGTGTATTATCATCAGACACACAAAAACGAGGAAGGGTGATTCCTCTCACTCTGAAAAATGCAGTTTTCTTCCTTTAAAGGAATCAATCATAAACTATTCACACATCTCCCTTAAGACATTCTACTTTATAGCTTTTGTTATATTCTAATTCTTACAACTTTGATAAACTTTACTTGCATATACTTATGAAAACATCACCCTTAACTTCTGATTGTGATGTATAATTTCCATTTATCTTTGAATAACTTAAAAGTAAAAAACAGAAAAAAGGTTTGTTATTCATACGAAGTCCACAGCCATTTAGTAAACTATTATTTTTTAAAACACATACAATTCACTGTTGCAGTCACAACTGTTTCACATTCCCCTTGCAGAGTGGCTGGTCCACTCACAATGGTTCTTTGTGTAGTCATACATGTTCTTCTGTTGCAAAAATTATTCAAACTAAATAAAAGGAGCTTGAAATAATGAAAAAGAAAGAATATCAGAACGGAAGGAGAAAATGCCCCAAGACAGAAGCAGAGAGGAGGCAAGTCTGTTATTTTAAATGGAGAAAACAAAAACAGGATGAAAGAATTCGGTTACACCAATGGACAAAGAGCTAGAATATGAAGCTAAAATAATATGAAAATAAATGTCACAGGAGATTAGGAGGAGATGTGTACAGGAAGAGGATGCATCTTCGGAAAGAATAAAAGTAAAAAACTGTTAAGATAGCAGAGAAAGGCAGTGCAGGTATCTGGTGAGTGGGAATGATACGAAGCAGGAGGTCTAAGAGGCCAGGAAAGGCCAGGAGAGCATTTTAAATCACTTATCTGGATAGTACATCTCACTCACCCAATTTACTTTATTTCATTATTCGTTATTTTAACCCACAGCTGAGCACAGGCTGAGTTTGTTTTGTTTCCCGCTCTGAGTTCACTGAAAAACTCAACTAGTATTTCAAGTTCCATCAAGCTGTGCCTATCACTTAACACCTTGGAGAATTTCTTTAAGCGAGGAAAACAAACATGTAGATGTTCTTTCCAAGCAGCCCCTTGCCTATAAAGAGCCCAGCCTTTCACCACCTCTGTTTTCCTTTCTCAGGCAGGTCAGAAGGTTCTGCTTTCCACAAGGCAGTAAAAGTGGACCCTCCTATAGGAAGAAAAATGTTATGAGCCCCGCACAGTTAATATAGACGAGGCCTGCACATGTAGGCAGACCCTTGAGGGCCAAAGGAAAGGGCAGCGGGCTGAAGGGAGAGAGAAGCGAGGGCAAGGAAAACAAAGTGAGCGACAGAGGCAAAACTGGATCTAAAATGTGTACTGACCGCAAATGACTAAAGCTTGCTTTTTTATTTGACAGTAATATAAAATGAATAAAAGCTGGAAAAAAAAAACACATTTGCACATTAATGTAGATGAAAGACACAGTGGTTGCATGAAAAAAAAAGACAAAGTGAATAATTTGCATCAACATATGGCACGGCAGAAACTTACTGGAATCAATAGCAAGTTCACTACCCAGGTTCCTACCCATAACATGCTCAGATCTTAGCGAAAGCGTCACAGGCGACCTGGGGTTGAACAGTTCAATCTGTATTTCGGAAGAGGGGACACACCTCTGCAGCCGAAGGACAGCTTCCCCACCTTTCAGAAGTGTCCCAGGGCTCTTCCACCTGGTTCTGGAAATACCGCACGCTTTGCCTCAGGAAGCTCCAAATCTACTCCTAATTGTGGCAGGGGCAAAACAGTGGGCAGAAGGGTTTTCACTAAGACACTGGGGCCACTCATGAGGAACGTGCCCTCCTATTACGCTGAGATTTCCTGTCTTTTTGCCCTTTCCAGCACCACCCTTCATTTAAGCTTTAAGCTTCACCCCTTGAAGTTCTGAAGGTTGGTCCCCTTAGTCCACGTTCTCTTTAAGACTGCTGCCCACATTTTCTGGGACAGAAGAGCAAGGGGTGCTTTCTTCCCCTAAATTCTAACACAATGGGCTGTAACAAGGACAAGGGTCGTGTAAACAACTCCCATTCTCTGGTCTCCCCCAGCTCTCAGGAGACACTGTGGTCAGATTACGGGTGTCACAGATGTGGTTACCTCTAGTTCCCATATAGGCGGTGATAACACCTAGTAATTCACAAAGATAATGGCTTCTCCTTTTTGCCTGACCGACGGCATGCAGGTACTGTAATCTTATTTGGGGTTTAAAAAATAATAGCTACGGAATTTTTCTTTTAAAGTTTTGGCACCCCATGACTCTTTTTTCAATCTTTGGCTATTTTATGATCTCACTCATCACCTTGGAAACTTTTAAGAACACCTAAACGGTGAAAGGTAAACAAACATAATCTACCACAACATACTGATGTATGGTCCAGAAAGTCAGTTCTGTTTGGAAGGACAACTCTTCTATTAGTGTTTAACTGGAGTGATGCATCTGCCTGACTGTTTAAAAGGGAAAAGAGCTGGGATACCACTTCTCATACACACGGAACACTGTAGGTTGTCTGCCTACAAACGGCCATACTCCTAGGCCGGTTCTTTTTCCAACTCTCTTAGAACGGCCCTGTGGTATCCCTAAGTGCACTCTGAAACTTTGGTATCACCTTCATTCTGGTGTGCTTTGTGCACATTCTCAGACACGGCAATGCCCAAACTAAGGCAACTCATCCCAGACGCTGGCAGCAATGCTATCAGCAAGAATTTGGCTTCAGCACCAAGAGTGATTCATCATACATTCTAGCAGGAGAAAAACAACACCCCACTATTTTAATCCCTTGGCACACTCAAGAACCAAAAGACAGTAAAAGTATAATTGAACAAAAGCAACAAAAATCGTATCTGCTATGCCGTTTGTAAAAAATACTGTTCAGTTATAAGAATTTTCTAAGTCACTTTGAAAATAACGGATTACTTACCTTCTTTCAAAATATTTGTAACAGTGACAAATCAAGTTCAACTAAGACAATTTCAGGAAAAATAGGCACTCCCAACTTCTACAAAGTAACACACTGAAATTCAATGCTTAAGAAATCGCTCCCTTGCTTTACAGTCAGTAAAGTCCATCCTAGCGTTGTAAAAAGCAATCCACTTCTTCAATGGTAGCTCTTGGATGACATGGTTTAAAGTCCAGCTGAGCGAGTTGCCACAGCCAGACACGGGTGGGAAATTCGCTCGGGGCACTCTCTTTCATCTTTCAGAGCTGCCTCAACACTCTGCTAATCAACACCAGTGCTCTAATAATAAAGGGACCAGCTTAAACCCTGTTGCTGCATCTAATGAGCCAGGACAGGTCTCCTCCAGGTCACTCTCGCTTCAGGAGAACACAATGCGCTGACTATCACAGGGTTATCACCTGTGTTTTTACAAAATCCTCCACATCCATGAAAGCCACGGCTGTGAATTTCATAAAACTTTTTTTAAAATGCTACCCTGATGGCTGTGCCCAAGTCCTCCTACCAAGACCCCGCCCTGCACTCCCCGGCAGGGAGGATCCTACCTTTTCAAACACCTCTTCCTCCTCCCTGCGCCTCCGTTTGCGGGGTCTCCGGTTCAGTCGCATCCATTTCGTGACCTGGAGTCAAACCCAGAGCATCTTACACAGGTCGCTTCCCGAGGC